TTTGAACCCAGCGTTCAAAAACACGTCCAGCAGTGTAGGTCTCATTGCAAATGGCCACTTCGACTTGGGATCCTTCCCTGGTAAGCGTCTAAAGAACTCCCTTGAGCAGTTACACCGTTCCAAGCGCCATTTGTCGGTGCCAACTTCTTCTGTCCAACACTTTCTCCACTTCGTTCATCGCGTAAGCCGCCCGCCACATCCGTTCGTGTTCCTTTCCACAGGCTGTCTCCTGCAGCTTTCACAAGTAGCTAGGTCATCTGAATCTCACGCCTCCGCCAACACTTGTGCGTTCATCCATTTTCTTCATCACTGCTCGTTAACTTCATCTTCTTCCTTCTAACATGCACCAAGAGACGCGTATGCAAGTCTACTGTGCAGCACTTTATAATGAATTCATGAGCTCCCGTGAAAAGTTAGACTGGTATCATTTAGTTCTAATTCCTTCTGAATTCAGGAGAGATGTGTTGACAAACATTTAGAGATCCTTCAAGAGGCCCCATGATTACTGCTTTTGCTTTCTCCGTTGTAGTAAAGTTTCATACCTTTCCCAGTTTCTTATTTCATTTTCAGTGTAACATAAACATAGGACCTTAATTGTCCCGCGTCCCATCAGATCACAACAATTGGATATTTTTTATATAGTAAACTAATCATGGAAGTCCCGAATCGAGCTAATATCTTTGACCAAGGTTTTTGACAGTCCTATACTCACAGCTAGAGGATTTTGTGCCAAAGCATTTACAGATAATCGCCTCGGTCAGCGTAAAGAAGCACGAGATACCAATTCGTTCCTTAAGAACATCGTCTTCGCTAGATTCAGTCATGAGCCTCTCTCCAATGTCATGACCTATAGCGACAGTGAAAGGCAATTGTGGTCAATTTTGGGTTGATGCAGTGAGCTCTTTGCGCAAATGCAACAACTGGAATCTCGTCCAAATGCTCATTCCATGTCATTTCCGTCATAGTAACCTCATACAACCTCTATTTTCACTACTTTTGAGGAGCCCTTTTCCGCAGAACTGGCGAATATTCTCGCTCCCTTCATCATCGATGCATTTATTCCAAACAACACTTCCTCTTTTCAAATTAAAAAGGGTGCCTCGAAGTCACCGTGAACTCTACCTTCAACGCTTTCAGATGTTTGGGTCTCGGAAAAACTAACAGCTGCAATATTTAGGATTCGGCGCAACGTTGTTTTTCGTAACGTTTGTTATAGCGGCATACTTTATCCATGACACATATGAAGATATCATTCATATATCGAACGTCCTCACTAATGTCACTGATATCGTAACCTGTGATAATGGAGACTACGGTACGACAATAACTGATTATGAAAAGTTACGCAGGAAGGGGACAGTTGTTTTTGAAAGATAATATTATATTTTCAAAATTCTCCTGGAACAATTCATGCATGAAACGCGCACCGAAGAGGTTCAGACCACCGTTTTACGCGGACCTCCTTAAGTCGTAGAGCCTCCTTTTTCAATTCTGTAGCCTACCCCTCATGATTTCGATTGGATTTAGGGCCTGATGCTAACTGATAGAGACATGACTGATCTTCACCACTACCAATTCAACTAGATTCCAAGGAAACAGGAATCATGGCTCTATGGTGTTAACCGAGTTGTGAGGCAGGAGAAAGCTCTGACAAGGAAGGCCTTTCAGGGCGTGGGACGCATTTCGAAAATGGTTTTTTGCATGGTATAGGGGCATGAGCACTGAGTACAAAACTATGGTCCATTTCTGCTAAATGGCCTTCTGAATGACAAAAAAGGAGTGAAAAAGTTTTGTGAGAAATTGCCGTTTGAACCCACTATGCGTCGTTTGTTTCATTGATGGCGTCCACTGTCCGCGTAGTATGAGGCGCCAGTGGACTGCGCATTGATAGTATCGTGACGTTAGACAAGAAAGGGATGTTGTTCAGCCACATGTTGAAATATGTCGAAAAGGGCGGAGGAGTTTCATAGGAGCTGCCTACGGTTGAGCTGCTGGCAGCGACGGGTGGTGTTGTGGGTAGCGATGTGGACTTCGAGTTAGGACGGCTAGGCTGGGTTGATGGTTTGGATTCTCGGGGCTTTGCCGTTTTTGCATTTTATGCCGCCATACTCCAGATTGGCTCCATATTGCACCAGGGCCCAAGCAAGTGCCTGACTTGTCATGGTCGTGACCAGTACCACCCATAACCTCTACAATTCGGTGGAAGTTGATGTGTGGAGCACTACCAATGGAGGAGCTTCCAGGCTTCACACTCCCAGGAGCATAAAGGAGTCTCTTCATTTCTCACTGTGTAAGTGTTCTAATGGTGGTGAAAACCCTATAATATGGTCCCTGTTCGATAGAAGCTGTCCTCGACCTCGTTCGTCAATGCAAAGATAACAGGATTCCCGTAATCATTGTAGCTCCCGATTCCCTGGCGTCAAGTGGGCGTCAACCGCGGACTTCTGTGGGAAAACGAATCAATTTCTTATTCATCTCGTCTGCTTGCTGAAGGATCCATGAGCATCGGGCTTGATATAAAAAGCTGTCACCTCTGAAGGAAATCATTCAAGTTCCAGATTACTAGATTAATGAATAGATGAGGGGTTTGGGCGACACCCGTTCCCAACATGCGATCCTCTATCTCCGCACCCTGCTATGAAGGGCTGGCAGAACACAATCAAGAAGGACATTCCTGGAGTCGAGGTGACAGCAGAACATACTGATCGTGATGACCAACGAGAACAGTGGACAAAAACCGTCAACGGCGCGAAATCAACGCTAGGGTAAGAAACGGGGAAGTCATTGAAATTAGATGCGCCTTTCATCAGTTTTGAAGGATTTCGGTTGAAATAAAACAACAATCAAACCATTACTGTCCAAATCGTTCAAAGAATTGTATGGACTGTGCAATGTCCATACCGCTGGGAATGGAGAATGAGAATACCGCTACCATTTGTGGAAAAGAAATTGATGAAAAGATTCTCTGTCATGTATACCTTAATGAATCACTTAGTTGTCAGCTTGCCAGAAAAGTCCAGCTAATGATGGACTTCAAAGGGGTTCGTCCAATAATCTTTCAAAACCACCCTCTAAATTGTCCACTGCAGGCTGATCCATTTCGACTCCCAAAGCTATATTATGCATAAAACCAGACCTTACTAAAGTTGAGTAGTCCTAATTACTGAATTCACCCCTATTTCAGACTACAAAAAAAAANAAAAAAAAACGCTTGAAAAAAGCAAAAAATGCCCACACCAGAAAAATGTATCGACCGTGGGTCAGCGCGGCTCAACGGTGAGCCGCGGAAGCGGAAAGCTTCGGAATGAGTCTGTCCCGCTCACCAGACACGCAAAAACGCGCGCTGTCGTCAAAGGGTCAAGGTGAAGACGAAAAAAAGGATGATGAAATGAATGACTGAATGGCTACAATATATTACCATTCCTCCATTATTAGTAATTTGAATTACTGTGGACAGTTGAGAGAGATATGTCTATGGAAGTTTATGCTTGAGTGGATTATTGATCAAAACGTCTTGGCCTCCGGCTATATTAGCTCTGAACATTCGGAAGCGAGCATTAAGAGAGCATTGATCCAATATTGAAATTGATGACAGCTTGCATTCAATCTGTGTAGGAACAGGGGAAGTAGGTGAAAGCAACAGCCAACTTCAAGGCAGGAATTCGAACCCGTTGTCGAAGACGGAGTTCATCAAACGGCACGAGATGAGGAGAAAATCGGGGTCTGTATTTATGGTAACTTTGCTTCATAACGAGAATGGATTCAAAGGTCTTTGCGACACCTCTTCGGTCCAATCAAAATCGTGACTTACTTTTTCATTAAGAAGTGAACAAACTTATAGATTAGGCACAAATTTTGACAATTTTTTATCAACAAGTGACGACTGCCCTATAAATACTTGAAGATTGGAGGAACTGCTCATCACTCTTCGACAGCGTAGTCATGGGATGCCGTCAGGCTAAAAGACGATTAACATCACTAAGCCCAACCACACCTGATAAGCAATACTGTTCGGATATTGCCGCGTCGGCCGTAATATCTTCAGCTGAAAAATACTCAAGGTAATCAGTTTGCAAGTGTTTTCTCAACGAATTCTCACAGAATTTTTTCCAGCAGCTTAACTCATCTTCAACACGGCAATGATGTTTTTGACGTTCAGGTTTGATTTTGGGCGGTCAAAATGTTGTAGCAATGTAATCTTCCCAAAATATTCATTTCAGCGCCTGTTGTTCTACCTCGTTATGTTCACAGTATATGCGTTCATCGCAATTGCTGGTATATGGGTCGTAAAATTTTCATTGGCTTATACTTGTAAGATGTTGGACTGTTTACTAGTTCAAAGAAGAAGATTGCTATGACTTGGAGTGCCTTGAGCCCAAAGATTGTTAAAGACCAGATTTTGACAGGCGTTTACAGATATGCCTCGGCCCTATCAAACATCAATCGTGATTGGCCACGACGCATTTTCTTTGTCTATAAATTCAGCGGGTTCTGCCGAAGGGTGCTACTCTATTATATGAATCGCTAACAAAACGCATCTAGTTCATCAGTACATCTGCTCAGTCACAAATTTCCGTTTCGCTAATGGAGCAGAATTTATAATAGTTCTCAAAAGTCAAATTCGTCCCCGACTAAACCCGATTAGGACTCGGAGCCTTAGTCTAGTTTAATCAAAAAGTTTTGATAGGGTTTTTCGAAAGTTAGTGCCAAAAAGTTTTGATGGGGTTTTTCGAAAGTTAATGAACTTTTGATTAGGTATCGTTACCAATGATGCACCATGTGATAGTGGTAGATTTTTCAGAACCTTCTCCGTAATGAGTATATATGAGCGCGTTTTCTCATTCATCTTGAATTACAATGTCAATTCCACGAGGCCATTTTCGATACATCATCTTCTAAGAATGGCGCCCACGGCACCGAAGCGACGGCATCCATTCACATCAACGGCGTATGGGGGTAGGACACCACTTCCATCGCTACGATCCATCGCTGTTTCGCTCGCTTCAAGGAAGGAGACACGTGCTTCGAAGAAAAGCCTCTGTTGCAACGCCTCCTTGCCGTCGACGACGCCGTCTTCTCGACACCACTAAGTGGATCCGGATGTTAGCACCCGTATTCTTGCGATGAGACATGGATGTGCCCAATCAACAGTCGTCGTACGCCTTCAGGCCCTTGATTACAGAAAAGTGCTGACTCGATGGATATCTAGTGTTTTGACCCATATCATGCGGTTCACCCAGAATCTATTTGTCAGTTTCTTCTTCTCTGCCCATATCGCGAGAAGTTTCTGGAGGACCTGATTAGTGGAGATGAGTGCTGGATCCTCTACGACGCTAACAAGCACCGCGCCGTCTGGCTCCAGCGAGGAGAACAGCCGCCGACGCAAGCTAAAGCCGGCCTCAACCCCACGAAGTTTCTCCTTCGGTGCTTTTGGGATTGAGAAGGAACGCTGTACTACGAACTGCTCAAGCAAGGCCACACCGTTACCGCTCTACCTGCTCAGCTGCAGAAACTTGCGGAACGACGCTTATTACACTGTTTGAACGACGCTTATTATATTGTTTGATGAGTTCTAAATAAAACAGAAAAATCCCAACCCAATCAAGACTTCCTGATCAGCCTAATAAATATTTACGGAACATTATCTTCACACACGATCCTCTCGCCGAAAGACTGAAATCTTCAACGAGGTAGCCGAACGCACGACTACTATATAGCCATCTTTTTAAGAATTCTTTGACGAAAATACCTCTAGCAATGTTGCAAGATGATGACCCGCTTAAAGTCGAGCTTTTCAGTCAGCTAACTGCATATAAAGGGGTCTCATCTTTCGATCAATTACTACTCAGCAAAGAAACTATAATGGGAAGTTTGTACCGAACCTGACTGCATGATAAATGAATTGTCCTTTCAGATATCGCCACAGTTCTGTTTCTTTTAGTCAGCGTGTTCTTAGCCATTTCATTGGCAGGAATTGGATTAGTGTGGGATACATTGTGGACGCTCACGAATCCTGAAGCGCTCAACACATCTCAGGTTACGATGGGAGTGGAAATAACAGAATTTCCGTCTGGATACATGAAATCGTTACAGGCATGGATCGAAGCGATTGAGCTGGGTATTACTACAAGCGGAGTTATAGTTTGGGGTGTGATGGCAGCAGCCACCTTGCGCGAAAGAAAAGGAGGCAGCTATGAAGTGAGTTGTGCTGGGAAATACCTCAATAAAGTTGATTAATGACGCTAACGAGGGTTGACTAGAAAGCCATCACGGTGCGGATAGAACGGCATACTGCCATATGCTTACGAGAATTAGATCGCATCCCCTATTTTCAAATCCGTCGAGTGGTTTTGAAGTTGCAAAACGATTTCATTAACAAATGTTATAAGTGTGCTGCAAAAGTTTGAAGAAATACTGTCCGCTAGTTTCGAAAGTATGTTGCGCTCGCACGCGAAAGCAATACTATGGAATATATGGCGAGCGAAGGCACTGCAAATAGATTGTGACTATGGTAAATCGGTACTCCATGTCTTAGTTTCAAATAAATTTTCTCTGACCAGACTACTGACAAGACTACCAACTTCTTCTGCTTCACAGTAGACATTACCAGCCGCTGTAAATGGTACGAACACTCTCCTGAATAGGAGGTTTGCTCTGAGGAACTTCCTAAGGGCTTGCGCACACGTTCCTCCAATACCGACACTATAATTGTCTCAATTTGAACCAATATCCTCAAGTTTAAGAGAGACGAAAAAAACGATACTGCGTTACACTATCCACGACAATTCACGCAAAAGTCGCGCAGCACCCATTCGAATTATCCGACACTTTCTGAAAACAAACTACGCCCTGGAAGGACCTAATAATGCTCACGTCTAAAAGTGAATATCGTATTAATATTGGGATGTCCGGAAGTCTCCGCCGACTTTTGATTTTTCTTCGGGTGAAAGTTCCTAAAAGGAGAAATCCATTGATGAAAGGGTATGTCTTCCATTCTGTTCAGTACGGATTCGCCATTTTCCTGTAAGCTTTAGTATCCCACTTTCATAGAGAATCGCCTCGAAATCGAAATGCCCTCTGAGGTGCTTACTCCAGCAGATTGAACGATTTTCCATTCAAACAACTCTGCAGAAATCAAAACAAGTGGTATTCCGATGGTGCTATGTCCGGGCTATATGGGTTGTGGTAAGGCATCCCACCCAAGCTCCAGCAATTTCTGACGAGTGGGCAGAAATACTTGTCGTCTGAGGTATCCTGTTGGGAGTCAACGCCCTCACGATTGGCCAGTTCGAGTCGCTTCTGGTCTACTGCTGCCTCGAAACTGTCTAGCTAAGTGTAGTACCTTTCAGGAGCTACCGTTTGATTATGCGACAGCAGCTCATGATAAGTGATTTCCCTCCAATCCCACCAGCAGCACAGCATAATCTTCCGCACCTGGATTTT